GTAACTGATTGCAAATCTTCCGAAAATATTTTTGCTAGATTACAAAACCCAATTAAAGCGATTAAAACGGCTATGTTAAAACCAGAAGTAAAATACAGTAAAAAAAAGGGGGGGGTAACAAAATGACATTTCCGTAAAGTGGTAATATAAAATATAACACTGTAAACAAAAAACAGCTAAACTATCTTCTTGGTCCTTTCTCGTCAGAGCTCCATTGAGGACGAAAAACGTGTACACGGCTAAAATGCACACACAGGATGTGTATAATAAATATATACACTTCCGGTTTCTTGCTTTCCTAACATCTCCGATCTTCATGGATTTAAATTCAACCATCTTCTTTTACGGAAAGGAAACGGCAAGAAATTGACATGAGTAACACAGAGACACAAAGATAGGACCTGTAACAATTTTATGGTACTTTACAAAATACAGACAGAGCAATCAACCCTAATCGCACAAACATCGTTATTAGAGACCGCAAACAAAACAAAAGTGCTTACTTATTGATATGGCAGTCCCTGCAGACTGTAATATATCTTTGAAGATCTTCAAAAATCTATAAAAATACAAAAAAATAATGGTGAAATTGAAGGTTTTATCCTTGCTACACACGACCAAAGCTTACTAGCTAGAAATTACCAACACATACTAATAAATTATGTCGATCCTAAATGCAGATTTTGTGATAAATATTCCGAAACAATTTCCCATCTTTTATCAGGTTGCACAGATTAATCCCCCACTGAATATAATAAACTCGTCATGATAAAGCGAACCAATGTTTGCACTGGAAAATATGCAACTTTTACGGGAAGGAAACTGCAAGAAACAGCTATGAACATCACATCTACCCGGTTACAGGGATAGGATCTGTGACAATTTTATGGGACTTTACAATACACTCAGACAAAGCAATCCAAGCTAATCACCCAGACATCGTAATCAGAGACCACAAAACAGAATATTTGGTTTAGCGGCATATCAAACTCTCTGGGTTATTTAATACCGAAATCTAAAAATTTTGTACGTAATTTTGTTTTCAACTACAGATACACTTGTATATAATTTTATACTTTCACGGTAAAACTTTGTTTTAGATATATTTATATTTTGTAAATGATAAAATGTATTGTTGGTAATTATAAAAAAATGTATTGTTAGTAACTGAAAAAAGGCATTGCTGGTAATTTGAACACAAGTGCCGAGTTCAGAACTCGAACGCCGTTCAAAAAATATATTGTTATACTTTTTAGTGTTGTATTGTCGTTTTGGGTATAAAAATGTATTGCTAGTAATTTTTTTTTACAAAAACGTACTGTAGATTTTCGTTCGGGTGTTCACTATTTGCCCATAGCTAGGACCCAAACAGGTGCTAGCACCACGGTTTGGGGTGGACCTGAGAACAACAGTAACTAAGAGGTAAGAAAGAAAAAAAAATGTTAAGTTAAATGAGGTGATAACATTCCCACGCGTTTAATATCTGCTTCTGTGAAATGGAAAAAAAAATCTTGCCAATTTAAAATCTTTTCATTTGTACCCTCTTACTTCTTTAAGTAATGACTTTCATCAATATTTGTAAAAGTCTGTGCAAGATTTTGTTAGAGTTTTTATGGTACAATATTAAACTGTATAGGGGAAATTTTTATGGACTTAAAACTCACAATTAGCTTATTTAATCATCAACTTGAGAATTATGATACATTAAGAAATTAAAATACCAAAACCATGATATTTTCATGAATACTACTGGCCATTATTATTATTGACATTAGTAGTAGTATTAGTAGTAGTATTAGTAGTAGTATTAATAGTATTAGTAGTAGTAGGGTCGTGATCGTGCTGGTATCTGTAAAGCAAGTTCGAGTTTTTTACTTCTCAATATATTTTCTTGTTTTCTTCTTCTATCACCTCCCTTCTTTCAATTTATTTTTCTTTCTCGTTTTTTTTTTTTTAGCTTCCTGGTCCTGTTGTTGTTGTTGTTGTTGTTGTTGCTGTTGTTGTTGTTGCTCCCTCTCTCGGATTCTATCACTATATTTTTTTAGTATTGCTTGCCATATGAATTTTTATCATTCTCAACGCGTCTTTCAACTTTTATTATCGTCACGATCGATGCTGTGTAAACTGCTAAAACATTCCAATATCCATCAATACAACAACAACAACAAAATCAATATATTACTTAAAGAAGGAAAAAAAATACTTCTGCCATCATTTTTATCACTTCATCTCCTTCTGCTAATTTCAACGCTAATTGTCCCCATTCCTTCCCATGTCCGGCTTTATTTGCCCGCATTTCAAAGGATCCCCACCAAACGTCACTAAAAATTTCAACAACAATCGAGCTTTGATAGAGAATGTGAAATGATGAGTTTCAGAATATCATTCTTTTGTTTTTTTTATTTGTTTTGCAAATAAGAATATCTTTTTTTTTTCCTACTGCGCTTAATATACACGGGATCCTAGAATGTCTAACGAAGCATTCCCCCCGCCTTTTTTTTTTCTTTTTTCGACGTTTTGGACTCAGTAACTGTTTAGAGCTAATGAACTATGACAAAGTGATTTATGAGTGTATATGTGTACTTGTTTTAAATCGTTCAGTTGGAGTATATACTTCCATTATGGAAATCTGAATGCGTAAAACTGTCCGATAAGAATTTTATTGCAGCTAAATAATGTGTTGTAGGCGGAAGACACGCTTCAAAAGAACAATAAACGAAGAGTAATTGATGGATTTCGTAATCAGCAAGTTAGATAAAGTAAATCTTTCAATTATGATCAAGGAATCTTTCTTTTTTTTTTCTATTTAATTCGTTTTATGCTAATATTTAATCTTTTGAAATACGGTTTCTATCGAAAGCTGGGCGGTAGTGTAACGTATATTATAGGACAAAGTGGAAGCAGTGAACGGTGTTTGAGTTCTGAGTTCAATTTCGGACTATAATTTCGAAAAAGGAAAGAATCCATCACTTCTCCCGTGTTCATGCAATATGGTTTAAATCGCAGTCTGGAGAATTAGATGGCCAGATGTAAGGGGTGGTGTAGTCGCAGAAATTGTCTGAAAGCCATGACTCGGTTCTCCTGTTTGTGTAGCATGGTGCAGAATCCTGTTCCCAAACATATGGTCTTCCAGCAGCTACTCTCTTGTTTTAGGGCAGCACTACCTTCTCAAGAAATTTGATGTAGGTCTCCGTGTTGAGTCTGTGGCTCTCACCAACAAATTCGAGAGTTACTTTCTCATCAGAACGATCAGACTGAGTTTTTCCGAACTGCCGTAATTTCGTAATTACCATTAGACTCATCCAACTCTTTCCAAATTCTCTTCACTGTCCCTAGATTGACAATCAAACACTCTGAGATGTTACTATTGGAGCTTCCTTTGCGAATGACAAACAGTACAGCATGCAATTTCCAGATTTTTGGCGGAGTGAATTGCTTTATGGCGGAGTGAATTGCTTTATGGCGGTCTTTTTTCGGTCCAACTGACCCTACCATATTGTGCAGTTGGCAACATCAAAAACAAACAAAAAGCAAACGCGAAATTAAAAAATTAAAATGGTGACAATTTCATCATCACACCCTGTATATATAATCAATTCACCCCAAACAGGACAATAATTCCACCAAAAGGCAAGAGGTTACTGGGTGTAAAAAAAAAAAAGAAGAGAATTTTAGAAAGATCCGGAAGAACAATCCTAAACAGGTAACGAGAGATAAATCTCTACTACTGTTCAGAAGGTCAAGGAGGGGTTTTAACGGGATGAGAGGCGAACATATCCACTCCTGTTGAGAAAAAAATAAATAAATAATGAATAAAATTTAAGGTTTCACGCTGAGACCGTAGAAGTAAAGAGTTGAAGCAGATTTTAGAAGGAACCTGAAAACTAATCCTAAGTGAGAAACAAGGGATAAACATCCACTCCTGTTCAAAAAATCGGAAAGGATTGTGAACCGGACGATAGGCTAACCTATCTATTTCTATTGAATTAAAAAAAAACGTAGTTGATTTAAAGTAGTATTTCAAGTGAGAAAAGGCAAATTGTTTGATGATCAAACTACTGTGGAATCCAAGATCAAATCAAGGCAAACTGTTTGATAATCAAAAGCACTTTAAAATCCAAGGGGCACAGAAGGAAATGCTGCAATGAAGAATCATGCTCCATTATCAAGAAATCCAAGCCCATTCAAAACCGTCCGATTAAAAAAAAACTGCGTCCTGAAAAAAACGAACATGCTCTTTTATCAGATGTGTCCTCGCGGATGCAAAACCACCAACACGTGCGCTATGACGGAATTACAAATGGCAGCCATGACCGCTCCTTTGGTCTCACATAATAGTAAGATATTAGTGGCAATGGTGTCTACATCTAGCAAATGTTTTACTATTATATGAGAGGTATTTCGGAGAGGGATATGTGGGAGGTATTTCTAGGAGGGATATGTGGGAGGTATTTCTGGGAGGAATGTGCGGGAGGTATTTCTAGGAGAGATATGTGTGAGGTATTTCTGGGTGGGATATGTGGGAGGTATTTTTGGGAGGGATATGTGGGAGGTATTTCTGGGAGGAATGTGTGGGAGGTATTTCTAGGAGGGATATGTGTGAGGTATTTCTGGGAGGCATATGTGGGAGGTATTTCTGGAAGGAATGTGTGGGAGGTATTTCTGGGAGGGATATGTGGGAGGTATTTCTGGGAGGGATATGTGGGAGGTAATTCTGGGAGGAATGTGTGGGAGGTATTTCTGGGAGGGATGTGTGGGAGGTATTTCTAGTAGGGATATGTGTGAGGTATTTCTGGGAAGGGTATGTAGAATGTATTTCTGGGAGGAATGTGTGGGAGGGATTTCCTGGAGGGATATGTGGGAGGTATTTCTGAGAGGGATATGTGGGAGGTATTTCTAGGAGGGATATGTGGGAGGTATTTCTGGGAGGGATATGTGTGAGGTATTTCTGGGAGGGATATGTGGGAGGTATTTCTGGGAGGAATGTGTGGGAGGTATTTCTAGGAGGGATATATGTGTGGTATTTCTGGGAGGCATATGTGGGAGGTATTTCTTGAAGGAATGTGTGGGAGGTATTTCTGGGAGGAATATGTGGGAGGTATTTCTGAGAGGGATATGTGGGAGGTATTTCTGGGAGGGATATGTGGGAGGTATTTCTGGGGAGGGATATGTGTGAGGTATTTCTGGGAGGGATATGTGGGAGGTATTTCTGGGAGGAATGTGTGAGGTATTTCTAGGAGGGGTATGTGTGAGGTATTTCTGGTAGGAATGTGCGGGAGGTATTTCTGGGAGGGATATGTGTGAGGTATTTCTGGGAGGCATGTGTGGGAGGTATTTCTGGGAGGAATGTGTGGCTGGTATTTCTGGGAGGAATGTGCGGGAGGTATTTCTGGGAGGGATATGTGTGAGGTATTTCTGGGAGGCATATGTGGGAGGTATTTCTGGGAGGAATGTGTGGGAGGTAGTTCTGGGAGGAATGTGTGGGAGGTATTTATGAGAGGGATATGTGGGAGGTATTTCTGGGAGGGATATGTGGGAGGTATTTCTGGGAGGAATGTGCGGGAGGTATTTCTAGGAGAGATATGTGTGAGGTATTTCTGGAAGGGATATGTGGGAGGTATTTCTGGGAGGAATGTGTGGGAGGTATTTCTGGGAGGGATGTGTGAAGTATTTCTGGGAGGAATGTGTGGGTGGTATTTCTGGGAGGGATATATGGGAGGTATTTCTAGGAGGAATATGTGTGAGATTTCTAGGAGGGATATGTGGGAGGTATTTCTAGGAGGGATATGTGGGAGGTATTTCTGCCGCACACTGCATAAAATTATCATTATTTTCTAAATTAATTTAAATTCTTACCGATCCTATTATAAATTGCACAATGTAAAAAAAATGATGATTCTTGTTTTCGATAATAAATTGGTAAATCAAAAGCTTCCTATTGATTTCATATTTTCTTTTAGCCCTGATGATCCTGTAAAAATCCTTGATCTTGAAAATTGTTTTTTATAGGAAATATTTCAAACCAAAACTGTTCGACATCCGAATTCAAATTGGAATATATCAGTTATGCACATCGACAATCATTAAGTGTCTCGTCAAGTGTTGAAAAGGGCATTTATTTCACAAAAATCTTAATGCAATGTTCCCTCGCAAAATATAAAACAATTACACGCAGTTGATTACAAATTAATCGATCAACCTATAAATGGCTAACTGGTCTCATATCGAGCGAACGTATTAGCCGCATCATTTGTTGAAATCTCGAGAATTTTCCTCAAACTAATTCTTAAACTATGTATTATATTAGGTTGTCCCAAAAGTTCGTAAACACTTGCAAAAAACTGAAATTTGTGAATATAGCAAAGACGATTGGGATAACAGTCCGAGTAATGTAAATAATGCAAGTAATAAGGACCATATACTTAAGAATGAAGTATCACATTAAATAACTCATGATATATCATGATATACCAAATATAACAGACAACGGAGGAACGGTTAACAAGATCCTCCATCATAGCATTACGACTCCACCCATTTGAGCCAGACTAAGCTAATCTAAGAACTTCTCGCCAAAAAATGTGAATGAATTTTTCTACGAGACAAGCATGAGTTATGTGTAGGCACATGACTGCATAGTTTTGAATCCTTCCTATGGAAAATCACCATCTTCATTCTGTTGAAGGACTACTGTGACCAGACTCAAGTTTTATACATGAATTTCGATAATTACATAAAGCATGCTTACAAAAGTTCATATAAAGATTTGAAAATTATATTTAAGAAAATAAGAGATGAAGTAATTTGATTAAACTTATTGAATTCAATTTAATTGAAGTTTCGAATGGGATTGAATACTGTTAGATGCTTCTGCAGTGTATTTGGATATGAAAAATTCAAAGAAAAATATGCATTTTCAGACCTGACCTGGCTAATAATACCACCCGCCTCACCATAAAGTAGTTTCCCTGCACCTTTTTTCTTTCAAAATTTTCCTTCTGGTGATCTCTCCTCTTTGGTAACTCGATGTAATGAATTTAAGTGTAGTACTTGATTGGCAGATAGGTCTCATTAATTTGCAGTGAAAATTGCTAAATGTAATCGTAGGTTAGACTTTAATCGTTTCTTCTGTAGCACTACTTACATGTGCAAATCTTTTTTTAGTTTCTTGTTTTCCTGTTAATCAAGACCTTCAAAAATTTTACTGCCGCGTGAATTGTCGTCTTTTGTTGTCGTAATATCTGTTCTTTTATTGTTCTTTCTACTCAGTTTGGTTTGATCTGTTTTTTCTTTTTCTTTTTTTTTACGGCATAACAAGGGTTTTTTAATACTATCAAGAATTTTATTAGTGGTAATATTTTTTTTTCCTAAAATGTATTGCTGGTGAAGAAATTTTTTTATGTATTTCTGGTAATAAAACCTATTTTGTCACTGGCATATGTTATGAACCTAGTTTGTAGGTTAACTATTTGCCCGTAGCTAGAACCCTAAAAAGTGCTATCAGCCCGGGTAGGGTGGACCTGTGAACACCTGCAATTAAGAAGTTGTTCCACGCCCCCCATAACCTCCTGATCAGAGGCCTTGCTGCCGGATGTAGTTTATCGTCATACCCGGGACATAGACTCGTCTGGGAATCTTCTCTGGCCGGAGACGAATCTCCAACTGCAGGTTATCTATCAACCGCCCCATGCGGTTGGTACATATCCTGCACCATTAGATGTGGCATAAGGCCGAATTTAATGTGGGGTTTCCGAATCCGTAGGCTCAGCCAAAAATGGGATAGTCAAAGATGCCTTTAAAAGCTAAGCAGGGTATTAAGAAACGGAACAATTTCATTAGAAACAACGAAATGAGTACTAAACTGTTACATAAGTGCAGTGAATATGGCAGTGAATGCTGGACAATCTCCTCACAGAGGCAGGAGGGAGAGATATGTCGTTCCACAGAAGGACATTGAGGATACCATGAGCCGAAAATGTGACAATGACGAAGTTCTAGAGACAGTGGAAACAAAAATGTCTTTTATGACATTATTATTATCGTAATGAGAAAAGAGGGTTTGGAAAATTTGATACTCACATAACAGTATTAAAGACAAGAGAGACAGAGGAAAACAACACATAAACTACTTGGCAAGTTTGTGTGAATGGATGGTGAAACAGGGTTTGTGAAGAGATAGGAAAAAGACAAGTATATTAGAAGCTACAAAGAACAGGAAATTGTGGAGAGCCATGACCGTTAACGTCATGAAGGGACACTGCACATAGGAGAAGAATATCTTAAAAGTAAATGCCTATTTCAGGAGACTTTATTATTATTTTCTTATTCTTAAATTTCATGAATAATTTTTCTTTATTAAAATTTAATGCGTGCCTCAGTTTTACTTATTCGAAAAAAGCACCCTGAAGGTACGAGAAAAGTTGAGAAACACAAAACAATAGTTATCAAGATCGTCTGTGATGGCATTACGAATATTTTGATCCTTATTTATGTCCGTCTGAAAGTTTAGATTTATCTAACAACACCCTCCGCTATCGATCAATATTTCAGCTCTCCTAATATAAATAATGATCATTTCACATTACAGAAATAGCGACGAAAAACTTTTTTTTTTTAGTAAATGTTCAGCTAATACGGGATTCACGAACCATTTCAGGAAAAAAGATATTGAATTATGTTGAACCAGAAATTTTTACAGCACACTGTATTTAGTAGTGTTGAAGTTGTCGCTAAGATTTTTGTTTGTGATTTACAAACTCTACATTTCCTTCAACTTCGCAAACCATTTAACGAAATTTGAATATGCTAATATGCTTAAAAAAAATTATTTGACAAAAACACTACTTCGCGGTTTAATAATTAATTTAATTTAATAGGAGTTCATGATAAAAAATATATTTTAAGAAAATTAATTGTTTTTCCTTTTTAATAGCAAAGAATAAATTCTTAGGATTTCTTACTCTTGAGCATGCAGCATACAACGGGCCATGCATAAATAGTGTTTTCTAGAGCCAACTTTTTGAAACAATTGACCTTTTGATTTGTTTAAGGTTCTCGCAAACGCAGGATGAACTGGAAACCGCATTCTTATTAAATTAAATTAAAGAAACTATTTACCAAAATTACAGAAAAATTCTTGAAATACTAAAGAATAAATTTATTCTATAAAATCGCTATTACATTCAATAAGGGCCCCCAGACGACTTCGGAATCTATTGAAACTCTTCGGGAGAATTTCTTGGTTAAGTTGGTGAATGCTGCCATAATGCTTGCTTTCAGTTTAGATTTGGTGCTACAAGGATTTTTAATGGTCTCTCGCCTAACTGCGCCCCACACGTAATAATCCAGGAGGTTTCAGTCTGGGAAGTTAGATGTAAGGAGGGATGTTCTCGTAGAAATGGTCTGACAGCAATGACTAGGTTCTCCTGCTTGTGGGGCATGGTGCAGAGTCCTGTTGGGAGACATAAGGTCGTCCAGTAGTCATCCTTTTGTCCCAGAGCAGCACTACCTCTTCAAGGACCTTGATGTAGGCCTCAGTGTTTAGTCTGTCCCTGTTGGAAGATGAGCGGAGGCTTAATTTTGCCATCACTAGAAATCACTCCAAACCCCTTCGTAATCACCATTAGACTCATTCAACTCTTTCCGAATCCGCTACACTTTCCTCAGATTTACATCCAAACTCTCTGAAATGTTCGTATTGGAACTTCCGGTCCTAATGCCAAGCAATATAGCATGTTGTTTCCAAATTTCTGACAGAATGAATTGCCTTGTGGTTCTCTTTTTCTCGTGGGCGGTGCTCAACTGACCCTACTGTACTGTGCCAGAGAGAAAATCAAAACAAACAGCGCAATTGAAACGAAATTAAAAATTAAAATGGTGATAATTTATCCATCGCATCCTGTGTATGGATGGATGCAATGGATGGAAGTAAGAGATTTCAAGAGGTCTGTATTTCTGAGATGAGGCATTACGTACACTATTTAGATTATTCGGACTATTTTCCTCATCTTTGTTGCCATATTTATAATCACGTTTCGGCCGTTATACGCTCCGACCTTCTTCAGGTGGTTGGAATGTCGAACTGAACCCTCTATCTCGCTCGCTGGAGTAGGCTGTTCTAGTTTCACGTGCCATGTATAATGGATGTCAGTCATCAGTTATCTCCTGTGAATTCCCCTCTCCAAGTTCTCCACTGCCTTAACCAGGTATTGAACTCACACCTCTTCGTGTCCTGTCACTAGATCTAGCCAATGCCTTTATCCACTGTGTCATGTGTCCTTAAGAAACCTCTGTATATGAATTTCTGGGACTTATAAACTTAATGTCATCAGCAACCATTTTTACCAGTACTCATATGTTAAAATTGTAGTAATCATGGAAGCGTCCCCGAGAGAGTGTCTATTTGCAAAGTAGCAGTTTGAAATGATTATAGCTACGGTACCTTGTTTGCTAAGAATATAATGGCCTGCACTGTTCACGTCGCTGGAAATGATCTCATCTCATAAGTCATAATCTAGACTTGCCGGGTGGAGTACATGGGTACAGCCTTACTGTTGAAACTTGCATGGAATAATAATACAACACAAAATGTACTTAGAACAAAATATATTGAAACAAGAAAGTGTACACAATATTTACATATAGTCTTTTGTATATTCTTGGGAAGACCGTTCCTGGAGAATGTGTTGACTGAGTCGCAGTCGAGCAGAGTCTCTGGATTGAATCTCTTGATTCATTCCCTTCTCTTCCCGGTACCAACCATATTTATATGGTCG